ATACACCCCTGCAGAAAACAAGTAAGAAAGTCTAAGTTCGGGCGGAGCCGAACATTAAATACCCGGCGCAAGTATTAAAGATATGTTTTCCACCTTGCCGAAAGCTACCGCTACATGATAAGCCGGGGTGTATACATTTTAAGTAAATTAGCGTCCTTAAATTTCGACATATTGAAATTTCAAGCATTTCTGAAATTTATTGTTATTTGAAAAGCGGCCGTAATTTAAGACCGATTTCAACAATTTTCAACGGTTTGCTTTTATGTGGCAAGCACAATAACCATACCGAGTTTGGTACAAATTGCTAGAACGGTTAGCGAGATACATATATGTAATCACAAGTGGGCGGTGCCACGCCCATTTTCCAAAATTTTATCATAAACGTATTTCTTGGTAAAGAATTGTTGCAACCATCAATTTTGAAAAAATTAGCTTTGATATTTACTGATTTATCGAAGATTTTGTATTTCTCGAAATTACCGTTATATGGAATGGCCATTTGGTATGCTGTACCAGGACCAACAACTGTGCCAAGTTTGGAAGAAATTTGTGCAGCGGTTACCAAGATATACACATGTAACCATAAGTGGGCGTGGCTACGCCCATTTGCCAAAATTTTAAAATATTCTTATTTTTCGTCTAAAACTCATTGTAAATATCAATTTTGAGTGAATAATCTTCAGTAGTTACTAAAATATCGTAGTTTTCGTATTTCTGAAAATTACCGTTATATGGGAGGTAGGCGTGGTTATTGTCCGATTTTTTAAATTTTCGGCCATTTAGTATGATGTATCAAGGCCAACAACTGTGCCGAGTTTGGAACAAATTGGTGCAGCGGTTACCAAGATATACACATGTAACCATAAGTGGGCGTGGCTACGCCCATTTGCCAAAATTTTAAAATATTCTTATTTTTCGTCTAAAACTCATTGTAAATATCAATTTTGAGTGAATAATCTTCAGTAGTTACTAAAATATCGCAGTTTTCGTATTTCTGAAAATTACCGTTATATGGGACGTAGGCGTGGTTATTGTCCGATTTCGCCCATTTTCAATACCATCCGTCCTACACCCAAAAGAAGTTCACGTACCAAGTTTCATTAAGATATCTCAATTTTTACTCGAGTTATCGTGTGCACAGACGGACGGACGGACGGACAGACAGTCACCGCTTAATCGATTTCTCTTTTCATTCTGATCATTTATGTATACATTTGTCTATATCTATCTCGATTCGTTTTGCCTGTTACAAACAACCGTTATGTGAACAAAGTTATAATACCCTTGTGCACAAGTGCGCTCGGGTATAAAAATTATGAATTGATAAAAAATAACCTACTTGTAGTTAGCTGTGTTGCGGGATTTCTATAAAATATATAACTTGTAGTTAGCTACATAAAGCTAACTTGAAACTAGTTGATAAGTAGTGCAGGAGTAATGCAGACGCAATCAGGAGATTGTTTTCTTTAAACGCGTTTCTATTTAAATATCCTGCACTTCGCAAATACTTTTTCGAATCGAGGACAAATAAAAGGAAGATCGAAATTTCATATTATCATTTTGAAGTTATGTCTGACGGAGTTCGAATATGGGACCAACTACAGCAGAATATGTAAACAAATATTAAATGTGATAAAATAAATAAAGTAAATAACTAAAAAAAAAAAACAAAAAACAAAAAAGATAAAAATATATATTTTGTTTTTCCTATTGATATTTTATGCCCAAAAGTAGTTAGTTACAAGCTAGTTACATCAAATGCAGAGGTAACCACCCTTGACTACATCTAATGCAGTGGTAAGCACCCTTGACTATTTCGCGGCCATCGCCATAGAAATATAGTTAGCTTTCGTCAAAGAAAATATACAGATAATAAGTGACTTATAGCTTCCTAATCAACTTAATAGTTAATAGTTAGATACATTTCCTGCAGGGACATGTTTATTTGTACATAAATACACACATGTTTATTTGTACAAACCCTGTGGGGAAAATCTCTAGTTTTGAACTGGTGCGCTTCTAGTACATTTAGAACCACTACTAGTTCGCGATAAATCTCTTTTGCATGCAAACAACTGGCGAATTTAACACAGCGATGTCATAGGAATTGGAAATTGTCTCCGGCTGCATTACCTTTTCTATATTTCAGAACCAGTCCTAAATTCGACATATGGGATCTAGTTCGCTTTGCACCCCATTTTCTATAGTTTCGAACCAGTTGTAAACGAAAAAAGTAACAATATATTTTCTTTTTGGGTTACCATGGTAGCAATTTTTATTATTTGGAGAGAAATGTATTTTCAATCTGAAATCAAGTTTGTTTGAATGAATGTAAATTAAATTGTGCATTTGAAAACACGTTTACATACCTTTGGCTGTAGCTGAATTTGCAGAGGTGCTGACTGTTATTGGTTATATTCCAGAAGGTCCCATAATGTTAAGCTGTTAACACAAATATTAGTTTTGTATTACCAAACTATGAAAAAGCATCTGCGACGTGCTGACTGAAAGCGTATTTGAACGAAAAACCCGCCAAGGAAAAATCTATTTAAAGTAAACAAGCCCCCCGCTGCATCCCTTTTTCAGTAGTTTCGAACTAGTTCAAAATTCGCCAGATGAGATCTAGTTCGTTCTACATCTCTTTTTCTATAGTTTTGAACCAGTTCTAAATTCGTCATTTTAGACATAGATTTCTAAAATTGTTTTTTAAAAGTACCACATATCGCCGCTTTTGAGCTGGTGGCGATCTAGTTACTATCGGACTGGTTCGTTTTTGGCGATAAAGATCTAGTACGGGACTACAAATTTGGTACACCAGTTCGGGGTTTCCCTGCAGGGAATGCACTAATCGCGTACTGTGTGTGGTGTTGATTCAAACTCAAAATCTGAAAGCATACTTACATGTCTGGCTGTAGCCGAGTGCGCAAAGATGTTGGCACAATTTGTCAATTTCCAGATTCCCGATAGTCAGAGTTCAAATCCCATTGCAGGCAACATGCAAATTAAAAATATTTTTTTTATCTTGATTATTCACTTCACGGATGCTTTTTCAGAACGAAAGCGGACGTATTTGATTTAAATAATGTGCGTTATACGCTACTTTTGAATACGTTTTCATTTTATTTTACTAACTCGGTATAAACAAGGTATAAGTTGGTTTGGATCTGTACATATACATAGTTGAATATTCTTTAATTATATTTCCAGCAATGGGGCGAAAGCGCAATATTTACATTCGTGAACATTTTGAAAGTGAAGGTCAAGTTGGAAAATGCAAAGCATGTGGTGATATGATCCAGTTAGAGCATATAACTAATTTAAAAAGACATTTGCGAACTAAGCATGCTGAGTTATTTCACGAATCCAATAAACGGGCCCATCTCGAAAACGAACCCAAGGATGTCAATGATAAAAAATTAAGTTTTCATCTAAAATTTCCCCAAATGAGGTGGTGAATGCATGCATTAACTTTATCGCAAAAGATTCGTTGCCTTTATCATTTTTCGATTCCGAATCCTTTAAGGCACTTACAAATCAAATATTCGATGGGCTTAATATGCAAAAAATAACATCGGCTAATATTATGCAATTCGCAAATGAAAAGTGCGGCAAATTGAAATCCTCAATTCTAGATATACTCAGCGGTAAACTTATCTGTCTTAAGATTGATACCGCCACCCGTAGTAATCGTGGTGATCTTTGTGTAAATGCCCAAATTTTTTTACGCGATAAAATTGAAATTATTACTCTAGCAATGGAAGAAATACAGGGCAGACATACAGCGGACAATATAAGAGTAATAATGGAAAAAGTAATAGGATCTTATGATATTAAAAAAGAACAAATTTATACGGTTACCACTGATAACGGCCGGAATTTGATCAAAGCGGTTGAGCTTTTGGCAGAGACGGCCAGCCACGACGACAACGATGATGATGATGATATTGATGATGATGATGAAACCGCTTCGTATGTATTTTCCGGAAATGTTTTAAAGCCTATTATAGGTGATCACATAATTTCTGTAAAATGTGCGGCTCACACGCTTCAGCTCGCTGTCAAAGTCTTTTTGGAAGAGTATAGCCCGGGAATAGTAAGCAGTTCTCGCCGAGTTGTAAAGATCCTAAGAACACCATTGATGCGGTGGGTGGTTTCATAAACTTTCTCACCTTAATAGCTTTTTGAGATGATTTCGTTTAAATTTTTCAGGTTAAAGGTTAGAGACCAAAATCTTGTGAAGCCTCAACTAGATGTTCTAACTCGTTGGAGCTCTACATACAATATGATGGGAAGGCTCTGTCAACTGAGAGATTTTTGCGCAATGCATCTAAGATCATCCGAAAATTTGAGCATTGACGAGTGGAAATTAGTGGAGAGCATTGTGTCAGTGTTGGAATTACCTCACTCGTTAACTTTAAAGCTTCAGGGTGGGCAGTTCCTATTAGGAGACTTTTACAAACATTGGCTGCAGATGACACTTGAGCTCAAAAACACTGATAGCGATATTAGTAAAAAATTTTTGAGTTGTGTTGAAACAGGCAACGTTCGCTGATTGAAAATGATATTATAAATTCGGCGTTATTTTTGGATCCCAGATTAAGGCGAGTTCTTTCTAAGGAAAAGATGGAATCCGCCAAAAGCCATCTAAAAGGACTCGTTCGTCGCTTGGAGAATTTGAAAGAGGTTTTTCTAATGATTTTCAAATCATCAGATGTTTTTTTTAATGTTCATTGTAATATTTTTTTTCCATTTAGAATCACGATTCATCTTCTCAAAACAATCAACGCAGTGAGGAATTGTCATTGTATGTGAATAAGATGTATTAGTGTCGTTCGATGTAGTATCCTTGTTCACAAATATACCTACAACGTCAGCAATTAAAATAATACTAAATAAATGGGACCAAGTACAAAAGAGGACGAATATACCTAAAAATAAGTTTCACCACATTTTAGACTCTTGTCTTAAAGACAACAGCTATTTTATGTACAATAACAAATTGTATACTCAAAATTTTGGAATGCCGATGGGCAATCCTCTTTCGCCAACAATTGCTGACATTATCATGGACAACCTACTTGACAATACCATCGCGGAGCTTAAAAACAAATACAATATTGACATAAAATTTATAGCGAAATATGTGGACGACATCTTTGCAATAATAAAACTAAACGACGTGAACAAGATTCTAGACACACTAAGGGCCGTTTGCACCATCTCCAGTTAAGTTAGCATTTAACTAGAGGATAGCTAATCTCCAGGTACCTTGATTTGACATTCTCGTTTTCACCAAGCTCAGATTAGCCGACCTCCAGTTAATTCGATAATTGTGAATATTTTGTAGAACAATTCACAAAAACCCATTGTGAATGCTCATAAATGGGCAAACCAGCTGTGTTTTGTTTACATTTTTGACGTGCCATTGTAAAAATAAATTGGTTTTTGTGATAAGTGTGGACTTTTAAGATTTATATAGAAGATAATGGATGACAAAAAGAGAAATCGTTTGCCAAATTTTACAAGCGGCGATGAGTCTCCTCTTATCACATTGGTCGAGCGGTACGCCAATAAAATAGAAAATAAAAGAAGCGACGCAGTTTCGTGGGAAGAGAAGCGAAAAGCGTGGGAAGAAATTGACCTTAAGTTTGAGTCCCAAACTGGTATCAGGCGCGGTCCTAAAAATTTGCGGGAGAAGTACGAGAATATGAAGAAGAGAACCAGGAAGAATTTAGCCGATGAAAAGAGGGAGCTATATAAGACTGGTGGGGGCCAGTTTCAACACCGACCGGACAAAAATACGGGCAGGCTAGCTACGCTCATGGGCCAATCTGCAACCGGCTTGGAAAATTACGTAGACAGCGATGGTAAGATTTCGCTTTTATTTACATGCAATAGTAGTTACTGATACTTGAATTTTACATTATTTCAGCAATAGTCACTTATGAACAAGAGCCTGAGTACTTGGACGAATCTATGCAGAGCTGTACGGTAGAACATCTGGACGCGGCATTAGAAGCTAAAGAACACGTAAATTATATAATCAGGCAGGTTCTGCAATTCACTTCCGAGTGAATTTAAACCCCTGCCAATTTGAATTCAAAGCGCATTTTGTTGAAATTCGGAAGTGAATTGCAGAACCTGCCTGTATATTTGAAAATTATAAATTTTCCTCTATAAATAAGTATTTCTTTAGGATGCCAGAGCAGATTGGAGTTCATGGAACCCAACTCTGCTACGTTCAAAACCCAACGAAAAACTAGCGACAAAGCGAAACAAGTAAGAAAGTCTAAGTTCGGGCGGGGCCGAACATTAAATACCCGGCGCAAGTATTACATATATGCCTTTTCACCTTTCCGAAAGCTACCGCTACATGGTAAGCCGGGGTGTATCAATATTGAATAAATTAGCGTCCTTAAATTTCGAAATATTGACGTTTCGAGCATTTCTAAAATTTACCGTTATATGAAAAGCCGTAATTTTAGTCCGATTTCAATAATTTTGAACGTTTTGCTTTTATAAGGCAAGCACAATAACCATACCGAGTTTGGTACAAATTGGTAGAACGGTTACCGAGATACATATATGTGATCATAAGTGGGCGGTGCCACGCCCATTTTCCATAATTTTATGATAAGCGTATTTCCTGATAAAGAATTGTCGCAAGCATCAATTTTGAATAAATTAGCTTCAATATTTACGGATTTATCGAAGATTTCGTATTTCTCCAAATTACCGTTATATGGGATGTGGGCGTGGTTATTGTCCGATTTTAAAAATTTTCGGCAGTTTGGTATCCTGTACCAAGACCAATAAGTGTGCCAAGTTTGGAAGAAATCGGTGTAGCGGTTGCCAAGATATACACATGTAACCATAAGTGGGCGTGGCTACGCCCATTTTCAAAAAAATGTTAATATTCTTATTTTTCGTCTAAAAGTTATTGCAAATGTCAATTTTGAGTGAATAATCTTCAGTAGTTACTAAAATATCGCAGTTTTCGTATTTCTGAAAATTACCGTTATATGGGAGGTAGGCGTGGTTATTGTCCGATTTTGCCCATTTTCAATACCATCCGTCCTACGCCCGAAAGAAGTACACGTACCAAGTTTAGTTAAGATATCTTAATTTTTACTCGAGTTATCGTTTGCACAGACGGACGGACAGACGGACGGACAGACAGTCACCGCTTAATCGATTTCTCTTTTAATCCTGATCATTTATGTATACATTTGTCTATATCTATCTCGATTCGTTTTGCCTGTTACAAACAACCGTTATGTGAACAAAGTTATAATACCCTTGTGCACAAGTGCACACCAAATCTTCTGGATGGAAGAAAATCAAAGAGCAGCTGAGCGACATACATGGGCCAAAAAGAAGAATGAACTTGAATTAAAGGAAGCAGAGATGAAACTGGAAATTCTAAGATTACACGTAGAACTAAAGACAAATGAAATAAAAAATAAAATAAAATTAATTAGCAAAAAGAGTTTACGGGATGTACATAGCTCAGTGGTTAACGCTTCTGACTT